ACTTTAAAATGAAATTATAAGTTAAAAATAATAATGTACTTTATAACTTCTTCAAAACCATGTACACATTAAGCCATATCATAATAAGATAATGATATAACAGATAGTGATACATTGAGTTGGTAATGCCATTAGATGATTAAGAGACCAGGGATGTGGTACATTCATTGTACTATAAAACATTCTAAAACCATCAAGTTATAATTTAAGACTGATAGGTCTTCAAACACAAAGTTTGGCATTCCAGTAAGGCAAAGAAAACTTTAAAAATAGTTATATTTCCATACCCAGATAAAGGGTTAGCAAACTTTTTTTTTTTTTTTTTTTTGGGTAAAGGGTTAGATAATAAATGTTTCCAGCTTTGTGGGCTGTATGGTCTCTGCCACATCTCCTTAACTCTGCTGTTCTATCAGAAAAGCAGCAATAGGCACTATGTAAACAATGTAGCTGTTCTAATAAAACCCTGTTTGTAAAAAGAGTCAGCAAGCCAGACTTGGCCTGTTGGCTCTAGTTAACTCACACTCCTTTAAGTATGCATGGGCATGTTAAATAGATATAGATGTCTGAATAATGGGAGTATATCTAAGTGCATTACTTTACCAAATCTGCCTCTCCCTGTAGTCATGACAGCTTCCTGGGTACATGATCAATGCCATCACACTGGTACTATTTAGAACAGTTCTACAATTGCAGCTTAGATCTCTGTGGTCAATGTCTTGAAATTCTTGTGATTTTATCTTGGATGTGTTTTGTCAGCAAAGTCTGATGGGACAATGGAATCTCAGCTCATATGTGTGGTCTCTTTCCCCTGTCTCACTTCAACCCTAGGGCAGACCTAGGTTTTTTCTTTCTTTCCTGCCTTTCCCTTGCTACTGATGCTGCCCTCCATCCAGGGTGGGACCAGGTGATGTCAGTGGATGAGGCATATGTTCTGTTATTGCCCCTCACAGCAGTCTGGATTTGAGCCTCCCCTTGGGGCAGGGTGATGGCTTGAGTGTGTACACACTGGCACACTATTCCTGTCCCAGCCTGGCAGCACCACACACAATTAGTGGACTCAGTGCAGAACCTCTTGCCTATCCCTGATCCAGGAACTACATGTGTTGCAATGTAGAGGTTGTAATCTGTGGGGGGTCACCTGTCTGACCTCCCTGTAATAGGGAGACTGACTTCCCCTATGATGAGTATGATGTTTAGGTCCTGTGGCTGGAGGAAACCAGAACCCAGAAATGTATTGGCCGCATATGTGCCTCCTAGTCACAGGGTACCTGCAAGAAGTCTACACTCCTCTACGTGTATCCCTGTACTGGAGAAAACTTGAAATTAAATAGCACATAAAAAACCAAAGGGTTGGCAAAGCTAAGAAGAAAGAAAAGACGTTTTATATTTTAGTCACTTTAACATCAGTTTTTCCTGCTTTCTAAACAAAGAGCTTTGTATTTTCACTGTGCATCAGGCCCTGATGAAAGATTTGCAGCTATAAAAGATTAGCTTTGAAATTCATTTACCGAAATGGAAACAGACACAGAAAATTCCACATCCACATTTCTCATTTCAGATCAGTCAACCCCTACAATGCCATGGCTTTCTGCAATACTTCTAAATATTAACTATTAAGGCTTTGAAATTATGTATTTTGGGTTTTAGACTCTAAGGAGCTCCTTTTGGGACATGATCATGAATTCTGCATGGTAGCCATTTCCTCAAATAGTTTGCGAGTAGATTAATTCATATTCCTTAAGAATAATAAGTAATTTTATAAATATAAAGCAAAGTCAAATGTTATATATGAAATATAATAAACAACTAGGAAAGTTAAAATTTTACTCACAGCTGCCTTTAAATCCCTTTAAAGAAGACAGTACTGTAGTATTTACATATACAAAAACATGCCTATTTTCCTGATTTGAAAAAAACCTTTTTGAGGCAAATAATTTTAAACATTAACTGGACATTATTTGATATTAAGGGATCTTCTTTTTTAAAATAACTTAACCTTTATTTTATTATTTATTTATTTTTATGTGGTGCTGAGGATTGAACCCAGGACCTCACCTATGCTAGGCAAGGGCTCTACCACTGAGCCACAACCCCAGCTCAACATATTAAAGCATTTGGTTTATTTGCTGAAATAATGCCAGAATGATTATATTAAAAAACATCATTAATTAATGAACACTAAAGTATTTGTGGGCAAAATAACAAATACAGTGTCTGAGATTAAATTTAAATATTTCTGCAAAAAGAACAGGTGGAGAAAGAAGACAGGGAAAGAGGAAGTTGGAAAAGAAAATGATGGTGACAAAAGTTGAAGGTGGCAACTATAAACACAAAGGAATTGAGAGAAAAAAAATCTGAAATAGATGGAATGGGGTTGGTAAATGATAAACACAGGTGATGAAAATGCAGGGATTCATTCTAATATTCCTTTTTCCCTCATTTGTTTTAAAATTCCCATGAAAGTGTGTGTATGTATACCTGTTGCCTACGAAAAGTTCTGATAAAAATCTAAAAACCAAGTCACAGATTTTTCATTTTCCTCTATACCAAAGGTTTTATTGTTATTGTTGTTGTTGGTGGTGGTGTGTGTGTGTGTGTGTGTGCGCGCTTGCTTTTTTGGTGTAAGAAACATCTTTTGAGTCTGACCATTCTCTAAGCTCAAAAATACAAAGGAGATAAGAAGGATAATCTGCCCATGGGTTGTGACACAATATAAAAACAGAAAAGAAGAAAGCGGGTGGAAGAAACTGTCATTGTTACTCTCCTAACCTTTCCTTCTAATTATGCCAGAGTCAAGACTCAGGTCACAAGGAAAATTATTTTGGTGGTCAACCATTTGTCCTATTTTGTAGACATTAAAAAAGCTCTTGTTCTTACTACATTCCAATCTCACAGTTTTCTACCTACTTTAAAAACCTATCAAGTGGTCACATTAACTATATGAATAAAATGACTAAATTATAAAGACACCTGTTTGCAAGTTAAGAGATGGTCTTCTTGTTATGCTGAATTATATGATATATAATACTTTAAAATTAAATATACTTTATATTATTCTAGGTATTTCAGATAAATGCTCAACATGTCCAGCTTTTAAAAGTTTAATGTAAATTTCTCTCTTGAGTGCAGATGGTGGCCAAGCAAAATAGCTCTTTGGTCTTACAGACAGAAGGTCAGGTCATGGCTGAAAGACCAAAGAACAATTGCTGCTTTGCTACTCCAAATCATCCAGGGAATGAGACACCACTACTCTCTTTTCTAAAACTGTCTATTCAATACAAAATAGTTACAAAGAGTACCTATAAGATTTCCTCACATTCTGTCCCAGAAAAAATGGTAACAAGTACATCACATCACAAATATCTTACAACTGTTCACAGATTTTATTCCTAGCTAGTGACCTTAGGCATATCTCCATCTAAAAATGTATCACTAAAAATAATTATGAAAATTGTTAATAGTTCACTATTATCAGAAAATGTTTGCAAATGAAAACATCTATGAAATCCTGCAACTTCAGCCTTTATATTATTACTGGTTAATTAGAATGAAATGTAGTGCTAAAGACAAATATTACAAATACTTTTAAACTAATTATTCATGTATAAGTAATATTTTGCTTGTGTTACTCCTTTTTTGTCCCTCTAAAACATTATACTGCAATTTAAAATAGCTCAGAGGCTCTTTGCTTCTGTATTTTCCCAGTTAGTCCAAAATATTATGCTGGCAGAATGCCCTATAATATAAAAGGTATTTCATAATGCTAGTAAGTATGTTAATATAACTTGAAAATTATAATACATTAGGAAAGAAAGTTCTCTCTTTCTGACCCAGTAATCCAAGGCCTTCAGTCCCTAATAGAAAGCATTTTCCATTCCACTATCAGGCACGCCCTCAACTGGATGAAATGAAACAGTTGCTTTATTTGTATATGTTAACAATAAAAAATCCTCTAGACATATAAAACTTGTTCTAACACTTTGATTATAGTGGTAAAAAAAAGAAGAATTTTATTTTGGTCGTCTACATTTTAATATATTAATAAGAATTTCAGTCACAACTTGAACAATTTTTGTATTATCACTTCCATTTTTAATATTCAACGGTCTTTAAGTCATCTGTAATAAATAGTTAATTGGGCTGAAAGGGAAAATATGATAAAAGCCTTGAGTTAGAAATGTATTTGAAAAAAACTTACTTGGAGCTATATACTTCTGATTTATAGTGATTCCTTTAAGATACTGACAGTAAGAACTCAAACTTATTTTTTAATAGAATAAATAAAGCCTGATTTCATTGGATATGAAGAATACAAGTCTTCAATGTCCTTTACTATAACATAAAAATAGAAAATCAAAAGCCAGCTTATTAGAACTGCCTCTCTAAAAACTTTATCCACATGGTCAATTAAAATTGGAGTCTCTGTATGATCTCAACAAAGTTACAACATAAAACATCTGTTCAACTGAAATCGAAGTAAGTGGCACTCCTGCCCAACATTTCTAATTTCACAGTATTTAGGCTTCCTGAGCAAACGTATTCATGGTTATCTTAGTTAAAACTGGATTTTCTCTGCCAACAATCAATTTGATTGACATATTTACATATCAACTCATCTCATCTTACAAATTTTAAACTTTTTCATTTAAAATTGGATGCAAGTTGGCATCTTTCAAGAACTTTACGTATATTTTAGGTTCAAACTCTGCATTAGAACATTTCTTAAACTTTTGTAAGTAATAGATACACATATCCAAATGTATATTTATGACCTGTCAAAATGGAATTTTATATGCATGCAGTTGTATTCTCACCATTTCATGTGAAAGGTGATAATTTTAGCCAACTATAAATGAACTTCTTTTAATAGTATAAACTGGATCATTGCATTAGTTAGAAACAATGTAACAGAAATAAATAATTTAGGGATAACACCATCAACTTCAGAAAGAATGTTAGTTATAACTTTAATTGCTGCTTATTCTTGTGTCATCTCTTACCTGAACTTTAATTTCAAGATCCCTTTTAGTTTTTGCTCTGTACTCTCTGTGCTCCTTTTCTGCCTCATCTTTCTCCATTTTGGTTTTATTCAACTGAAAACGCATTTCTCCACACACCTGTTAGATTATAAAACCTAAATCAATAGCTGTTGGAATTTTCCAGGCAATGCTTGCAATTAGATCTTTTGGTGCCCCCTAGAGGGCATATAGATAAAATGTAATAGGACTTTTCTAAAACTGACATTTTTATTAGACTATTCAGTATAGCCTGCTAAGTTTCATATAATTCAGCATAACAAAAAGACCATCTCTTAACTTTATAATATTTCTTATTAGAATATTCATTATTGTCTGCTATTATTTATAGACAATTCAGGTATATTCAGTTTAATAGTTTAAAATTAAAGAAATAGAAGTGCATAAATAATAAATTTAAATAATGTGCTCAAGATTATTTTAGGTAAAATAGCAGTTTTAATAGAATATTATAAATTCAAATGCACAATCATATAACTTTTAGTTAGGTAAAATAAGTAATTAAAACATTGAGCTATATTGTTTACTGAAAAATTTCTGGTTAAATATTCCTTTATATTATAAACATTTTGTCAAGCTTTTATTTAAGGAAACTTATAAAGGTTTTTTTTTCTCTCTGCTGATAGACTATAGTCTATTATTGATATTTAGGTGTAAAATACTCAGTATTTAACTTTTTAGATAATATCAATCTTACTATAGTAATTGCACAATACTACTCAAGAAATATTTTCTGTCAAAACATACATAAAAGAAAAAATGTACATTTAAATGCAATAACTTTAATACATGGATAAACAATAAGCATACACAGTATCTTAAAAGTGTTGTATATCATTCTTTATAAAATTGTTATTTTTTTCCCCCAATTCAGGGGCTCTACAGACATAGAAAGATAGAAAATGAAGCTAGTAGATAAATATAAATAAATTATAGGCGTTTTGAGATAATTGAGAATCTGTAGAGAAAGTGATTAAATCACAAGTCTGTCTAATATATAGAGGTTTTTATATATTATAACATATATATAATTATATATGAATACATATATGTGTGTATATGCGTGTGTGTATGTGTGTATGTATATATATATATATACACACACATATATATGTGTGTGTGTGTGTGTGTGTGTGTGTATATATATAAAATGGTAATACTTGCCTGAAACTTCCATTTGGTATTTCTCCAAAAATGATTTTGAAAACTTTAGAAATTAGTTTCATCATTATTGAGTTATTAGAATATACTAAAATATAAAATATGAGTATCCTATATTCAAATTTAAACTAATATAAGTTCAAATTTATACAGATAAGACAAAAAAAAGTCAATAAGCTTTTCCTCAGTGGCACTCAGAAAGATAAAATAGAAAGGAAATTACAAATAAAAAATTTTACTAGAGATTCAGTTGCCATCAATATGTGAGAGCTGCTTCTTCAAAAAATTATAAATTTATAAAAAGCTTTTAATTATAAAACTAAATAAAATTAAAAATTAAGAATGAATGACAAAAAAATACAGGGTGCTAATTTATTTTCTATTTCAATTCTTTACTATTGTAATCTATTTGGTTTATGTCTATGAATGAAGTGGGAAAAATCTTAAACTGATAATATAAAAAAATAATAATTATACAACCATGATGTTTAAAATCCACCCCTGGCATTAGCTTAATATACAATAAATGTTTAAGCATAAAGTCCCATTATTTTATTCCTTAATGTTTCTTTTAAAGTTTCCTTAATACTTCCAGATTAGCATTTGCTATGTTTATCCATAACACTTAAATTTCATCTAAAATAAGTCAACAAATTAATCTCAGGGTTGAAAGCAATCTCAAGCCTATTTATTCTAATCACTTCTTAGGTTTATGTTCTTTTGGATAGCTCTAGAGCCCAAAACTCATTCTTTACATTACCATTTTCAACAGAAAGTTCTTTCCCTATAAGGAACTGAAAATAATCACCATAGATTTCACCCATAAATCTAATTTACAAATTAAATGTTTTCATTATTTTTACAACTAAGGATTTTAATTATTTCTATGCCTTTCATCAATTGCTTTACCTCCACTCCTATCTCCATATAAACACATGGAGGTATACTGGCAAATATAAGCTCCTTAAATTTCTACATAAGCTAGAATTCTAGAAAGCAAATGGAGAATTACAGAAATTAAAGAAAAAAGGGGAAATGGCTCTTTTTAAATATATAAATTAAAATAAATTCTAAATACTGAATTATAAAGCAACAATGGCATAACAGTGTGTTAACAATTAAGGAAAATATAGAAAGGTTATGCATTTTAAACAAGTTATCTGTGTATTTTGTGGTGAAAAATAAGTTGATTTATTATATTATGCATGCCCATATTTAGTTTCTTAGTTTGAAAGAAACTGACTTGAAATTTTGATGAACTTCTATCAGTTCTTAAAATAGGGATCTTGCTAACCTTATCCAGTTAAGACCCCAAAGAAACTTAATTCTGGGTTCAGAAGTTAATGATGCCCATAACAGAGATGCTGTGAAATCTGAATGTATGAACTTAAACATCAATAAATAAGAACTTGTGATTCAGAATCTTCATTTTGGAAGCCAGAGAATAGGAGAAATTTTTATGTTAAGTATACTTTTCAAGTTGTAAATGGATATCTTTGAAAATTATTGTGAAACAAAACAAACCTTATGCTCTCTAGACAAAAAACAAACAAAAACATTAATTAATACAAGTTTTATCAAATATTTAATAATTAAAGTAATATAACTCTTATTTATAAGTCTTAACTCTTAAGATTTTTGAGGACATTAGTTATATCTAATTCATCTTGGAATTTGCAGTACCAGAAAAAGGGCTGAATATAGTAAATAAATGTTTGCCAAATGACCATTAAGCAGACTTTTAATATTCTCGAAATAAAAAAATTTCAAGACTTCTTTCTAATAACAAAAAGAGATTTGCACATTAATAAAAAATATTTCAAAGAAAGTATTTACTTCTGTAAAAACTAAAATATCTTTTTGTACCTTGGTGGCATCCATTTCCTGAGAAGCAAACTGGGTTTGAATTTCTTCTAGTTGATTAATAGCTGAAATCTTCTCTCTTGTAATTTTTTCCACCTGGGCCTCAAGTTGGGCAATATTCTGAGACAGGATCAACATCTAGAAGAAGAAACAAAAATTCTTTTTTTTTTTTTTTAAAGAGAGAGGAGAGAGAGAGAGAGAATTTTAATATTTATTTTTTAGTTTTCGGGGGACACAACATCTTTCTATGTGGTGCTGAGGATGGAACCCGGGCCGTACACATGCCACGCGAGCGGGCTACCGCTTGAGCCACATCCCCAGCCTAGAAACAAAAATTCTAATAATAAAATAATTTGATAAATAATATTTTATTAATAGAGTCTTGGCATAGCCTCAGAGCTCTGTTTAAGTTATTTCTCTGTAGATTGGGTACATCCACTTCTCTACCTCTTCAATGTATCCTAGAGTTTAAATATGCATTTTCTTTTTATTCATTTCCCCTTACCTCTTATTTTGTAAGATGTGAAAGATGATAAAAAATTTTTTTGGTTAAAATCCCAAGATGACAGATATCAGACACACCAGTAAGTTATGGAACAGATTTCCATAAACTGATTCAGAGGTGGTATGGTGGAATCAAGCAATTCTTAGGTCCTTCTCCCACATGGAGGGCATAAAAGGAGAGTTAAAGAGGAATATAACTTTAGAGAGAACTATGACTTCTACTTTCCTCTCCCAAAACCAACAAAGAGGAGGCTTTTTGCAGTTTCTTTTGTTGGTAAAACTCCACCTCCCATTTTCTAGCACTCCCCTAACCTTCCCAAAGGATTCAGTTCATCCATTATCTCCTTGACTTCCGGAAGCCTTCCTTGACCTCCAGTTCTCAGCACAAAATAGGCAATCCTACACAAGCTTAGGGTTGCTGTCCAGTCAATGTGCACTGAGATGCTCATGCCTTTTGTTTTTGACTTGCATCCATTCGCAGACTACTTCCCTTGCTACACTTGTTGTGTAATATTTTGAATGTCACTCTGGGTACTCCTACAACAACCTTAGTATATGCACCTTCATCACAGTATTTACTATACTGTTTTAAGTTGACTCCTTGTTTCCTCATTAGACTAGAAGTTCCTCAAGGGCACATTCATTAAAAGGGACCATATTTGATGAATGGATAAGAAATTAATGAGAATAAATATCTTTTCCAAGGGGCTATCTGAATATTGGTCTTAGATTTTATTCTCAGGATTAAAAATGCTTTCTAGATTTTAGACTTAATTATAGATTTTTGTATATAATTATGTTTTGTTCTGCTCCAGTGAGTCAAATTTCTCTAGTTCTTTAATGAATTACCAGTTTTAAAATGAAGAAATGCTACCCTAACTCCAGCAAAATAGATGGGGTACCTATGAGTTTTTATATGTTAAAACAAAAACTGGTAATGAGTTGGAAATAATGATACTTGAAACTTAACATTGTACCCTGACATATGTGTGAATTCAGTTCTATAAATGAAATCAATAAGCAAAATTTTATGATTAAAATTCAACATTGAGGGGCTAGAGTTGTAGCTCAGTGGTAGAGTGCTTGCCTAGCATGCGTAAGGCACTGGGTTATATCCTTAATAGCACATAAAAATAAATAAATAAAATAAAGGTATTGTGTCCATCTACAACTAAAAAAATATTTTTAAGAAAATCAACACTGAACCAGAGCTTTGATAAAGAGCATTACTGCAATAAAACTAAGATAGGTGTCTGCCTTTGCATTATTTAAATAGCTAAAGTTGACCTTTAGGAAAATAATGAACCCTGGTAGTTATTTTCCAATTTATGTAGATGAATTAATTAACTTTTCTGAAGATTGTAAAGCATTATATATTTGACTTCTAGTTGTTTACATGTCCTTATCAAAAGATAGTCTACAAATCAAATTTACACATAAAATTGGCTTCACTAATAACAATCTATGAAGTATCCTTGAGCATGTTACAATCTGAACCTAAAATTAAAAGTCAAAAGCAGATAAACAGAACAAATGTATCGATTTAATTTCCTTAATTTAAGAATTCAAGTTCATGACTATTTATATCATGAAATGTGTAATGACATGTTTTTTGGAATCATGTAATAGCAACAAATTTCAATGACCCACTATTTAAAACCACATATTATATATTTATGTGGAGATAAATCTGATGGTAAACATTAACATTGTACAGTTTTGAAGCAAATATGTAGACATTTATTTTTTGCCAACTGTAAATTCTGAATCAGTTTCTATTACAAAGCATGTTAACAAATCTCCCCTTCCTTAGGACTTATCTCTCTCTGCCACCCATCACTTCTTTCTTCTGCTCACTGTCTTCTGCCTCCTGTCACCCACTTCCTGAGGTTTCCCCTCCTGTTGTCACACCTTCTTTTTCCCCATGCCCACCATCTGGAAGTCAGCATTACACTGCAGGAGCTTCTCCACCCACATCTGTTGCAGAGCCAGAAGTAACACAGACACAGCTGCAACACTGCTGGATGTCCAAGGCATTGACATCAAGTAAGTCCTTTAAACTTTGACAGGGGCAAGGAAGAGACAAGGACACCCCAATTTGGGAGGGCTTAACAAAAAATTTTTGCAAAGCAGTCCCTCGTGTATTGAATAAGTTACAAAACAGAAATTCCCATACCTGAGATACAAGAATTAAAGATTCTAGCAATGGAATATTATCAAGGGAAGCAACTGAGAAACTGTGTGGACCATGGGGTTTGCTCAAGTAAATACATGATGAATGACTGAATGAACAAACAAATCTGAGAGTCAGTCCAACCAAGGACACTCACAGAAAGCAATGTTCATGGGAGAATGATTTAAACCTGTCTATATAGAAGGCACCTGTCCTGTTAGAGCTTCCAACACAATGGAATTTTAAAAGAGAGTGAAAAGAAAAAAAAAAAAAAAAAGAAAGAAAGAAAGCCTCTACAAGTCCTTGTAGATCTCAAGTATTTGTACTTTTAGGAAAGCAGGGAGGGCTGCTATGGCAATAACTTTAATTACTCAGCACTTACAATGTTATGTTTAGTTGTCCTACTATATTATGTTCCTCTGCTAAGCACTGTCATACATATTCTCTTTCCTTTACATTCCTTTAGAGAAGAAATCATTATTTTCTTACTTTTTTATTTTTGGAGAAGAAATTTTATTGGATTTTCAGTTTAGCTGAAATGAGATTTAAAACAAAACAAAAAAACTAAGTAACTTACCAAAGCTCATTCAAGAAAAAAACAAAAACCTGGACTTCATTTGTTTTTTAATTAAAATTTTTCTTTTTCTTTTTTTGTACTGGAGATTGAACCCAAGAGTGCTTTACTCGATCTATATCCCAGCCCTTTTTATTTTTTATTTTGGGACAGGGTATTGCTAAGTTGCCTCACTAAATTGCTAATGCTCACCCTGAACCTGGGATTCTCCTATCTCAGCCTCCTGAGTCACTGGGATTACCAGTATGCACCTCCATGCCTGGCTGGTAAAGATAGGCCTTAAATTCAAGTCTATCTACTTTTACTAACATGAAGGTCCAAGAAAGAAGAAAAACATTCAATAAATCTACTTCTTTCTCTAAATTAAGTATAATAGCTACAAACTAAACTTTATTCAATTCCTACCATAAAACAGCATTATATTTTCAAAATCTCATCTCATTTAATTCCATCAAGCCTTGAGATAAGCATTATCAACCTTTTTCTTTTTTATATTTATTTTTTAGTTGTAGTTAAATACAATACCTTTATTTCACTTATTTATTATTATGTGGTGCTGAGGATCAAACCCAGTGCCTCACGCATGCCAGGAAGCACGCTACCACTTGAGCCACATCCTCAGCCCATCAACCTTTTTCTTTATTCCTGAAATGTAGAGAGATTTAAAAATTGCCAAGATCAGAGAAAGCTCAAATTAGGGTTGACTAAATCCTTTTTTTCTCCAAAGCTACTTTCCCTGCTGAAAGCATTTAACCTCAGTGCTAGGATCAATGTTGGCTCTTTAGTCATACAACCTTATTTAGGATAGAATCTTGATATCAAATGCTGGCCAAAGTTTTCTTGGGGAAAATAAACTTAAATGGCTCAGGTTCCAAAATACACTGTATTTCTGTTACCATTTTTATTCATGAAATAATTGTTAGTCTTAGTATAAAGTTATCTTACATATGAACACACCTGGCATATTGCCAGACCCATTTCAGCCTTCCTTCTTCCTTTCTTATCAGGAATTATTATCAAATCAACATACTTTTTGTATAGTAGAAGTACCTAGGAAGGCAAATGGTTTCCACTAAATAATCCTCCAAAAAAATTGCGTAGGTATGAACAATAGCTGATCTTTGCTATTGATACCATTCTCACTCATACACAACAGTCCATTCATAACTTAACCTCCCTCCATGCCTTGTGATGACTCTAGCATTTTAGCTCTGTCTTTCCAATTGCATGGGAATCCCCACCCTTACATGACATTCATTTATTTATTCATTCAATAAATATATATATTTTAAGCACATTTTAATGTGAAAAGAATAAATCAAACAATGAGTATCATACATGAAAGGGGCTCAATAAATTAGGGAAGGCAAAAAATTCAAGAAGAATTTGCAATAAACTGAGTTATGGGAACCCATGCAGAAGATGGCAATAAAGCTTTGGGTGGCCCTGAAAGTAGGTAGTATCAAGAACTCTGAAGGATCAAAGAAGGTAAAGGAAGATTCCTGAAGGCAAGGGACAAAAATACATGCAAAATCCTGAAATGAATAAACAAACATTATGACTGCTTGTTTTCTCATTGGGGAAGTGCAAGGAGGTCAGGATGGTGGGGATGCAAGGAAGAAAAATGAAGGGAGATGAGACTGGAGAGAAAGAATTGAAGTTTTTATGTTATGCTAAGGGAGCCTAAATTTTATCCAGGGTTGTAGGGAGACATAAAGAATTTTAAAGCAAAAGACTGGCACATTGAGAAATTCATTTTAGAAAGATCATTCTAGCTATGATAAAGAGAACAGATGGGAAGGAGGTGACACTGAAGGCACAGATACAAGAGACTGGAGGAACAATCCAAGGGTGACATGGCAATTTAAAATACTTAGGGACCTGAATCTCTAGAACTTGGTGATGAGGTGTAAAGGTTGAGGTAGAAAGCAGAGACAAGGATGAAAACAAGATTTCTGTTGTGCACAACTATAGGAATAGCAGTTCCACTGGGGCAAGGAAGATGGAAAGTAAGCCTGATTTGGGAGCTCGGTAGAAAATGAAAGATTTAGAAATGTATACTATACATGGAATTAAAGCTACAGTAGTGATGAAGACAACTCAATTGATAACTCTCTACTAAACTCTAGAACTTTCTATTAAGCAGCTTTCTGAATGTGTCTCCTTCACTATCTCAAAATGAAGATAATCATTCTCCGAAATAAAACATGAGTTCAAAGAAATCCAGGAATATGTATCTTTTAATATGAACTAAAAATTCAGTAAATATAGTACAGGGAGGCAGGTGGTCAATAAGCTTAGCAACAGTATTCTCAAGGACTATGGGTACAAAAGCTGATTTGGAGTGCACTGAAGAGTAAATGGAAAGTAAGAAAATAAAGATGTGTTTGGATAATCTTTCAAGGAACTTAACAATTAAGGGAATGAGTGAGGAGAGATATAGAATTACTAAGGTAGCTTTCACTCTTGGCTGCATATTGGAATAAACTAGGCAACTTAAAAAAAATTACTGACCCTGGCAGGTGGTGGTGCACACCTATAATCCCAGCAACTCAGGAGACTGAGGCATGAGGATTGCAAGTTTGAGGCCAGCATCAGTAATTTAGTGAGGCCCTATGAACTTAGCAATACCCTTTCTCAAAAAATATAAAGGGATAGGGATGTAGCTAAATGAGAAGCACTCCTGGGTTTAATTCCCAGTACCCAAACCAACCAACCAACCAACCACCCTTTCTCTGCACCCCCCCCCCAAAAAAAAATTAACTGGTTTGGTATATTTTGGGCAATGAGATTTTTAGATCTTTTAGAGTAGTAAAGATCGATTAGAATAAAGATTTTTTTCAACAGGTGAGAGAATTTGAGAGTATTTTCCTAATGTTAAGAAAGAAAGAAAAGTTTTAAGACTCAGAAGATAGGGGATAACAAATGGAATAAACTCTTTGAGGTGGGAAAGGGGCTGTGATCTAGGTTAATGGATGATGATAGGATTAAGCCTTGTCCATCCTGACATGTTTGGGCTATAGGTGAAAATTTGTTTAATGGTAGAGGTGAGGAAATAAATACCTGGGATGGATATTATCTGATGGTTTCAATTTTATTTATTATTTCCTTTATTATTCTTTATTAAAGCTCTCTGCTGAGAATGAAGGAGAAAGTCATATGGCAGAGAATTTGAGGATAACAAAAGTGATATAGAATGATCATGGAAAAATGAGTACAAGTTATCATTTTCCACTTGGACTACTATAACCTGATCTTTACATCGATTCTGGTTCTCTTTCTAATCTACTGATAAAATGATTTTTTTCAAATATAAATGACATCAGAACACTTTCCAATTTAAAGCTATTAAATGGTTTTTCATTACTTGTTGGATAAAATTTAAAATTTCTCACAAGGAATTTAAGGTCATTCAGGATTTGGCCTCTGAACACTTCTCCAAACTCCATGATTCTGACCCTCATTCCTTATGTTCCTGTCATCTGGGCATTTCTTAAATTCCTAGAAAGTCCAGTGTTTTTTTTTAGCTTCAGAGTCTTTGGTTTATTATTTTCCTGGACCTGAAACTCTTCCCATCAACTCTTCAATTGTTCCTGACAATTCCTTCTTAACCTTTCCAGTATCATTTAAAAATCTTTTCCTTATGAAAATTCTCATGACTGCCCTAGACTAGGTCAGATTCTCCTGCTGCACATTCCCACAGTATTCTATATTGAGCCATTAATGCTTTATAAGAATCATAATTAGAAAGTAATTTATGAAAATATTTGTTTAATGTTAAAAAAATGTCTAACATCTTCATGAGGCAATTTCATTGGTCCTGAAACTACCACATCCCCAGGCTTTCTAAAATTAATATCTGTTGATTGCTGAAAGAATGGGAAAGAAAGGAATGCATAGGAGGACTAATAGACCCCCAAGTGTGCAAAGTTTCCATCTATTGTAGGATTTTCATCAGCTGAGATGACCAATCCAAGGCAGAGAGGTAGTCAGTCAGACTGACCTACAGTAAGGGTTTTCTTTTTCTTTTTTTTTTAATACATTTTTTAGTTGCTGATGGACCTTTACTTTATTTATTTATTTAATTATGGTGCTGAGAATCAAACTTAGTGGTTCACACATGCTAGGCAAGTGCTCTACTACTGAGCCATAACCCCAGCTCTACAGTAAGGTTTTAACAGACACATTTTTGTTTTCTTTCAAAAAGGGTAAGAAGAGAATGGAGTTATAGTAAATGCTTCAATTTATCCAGAAGACTTAAAACTGGTTGGGCAGAAGTTGTGACTTTTCTCTTTTTTTACATAGGACTGTACATTGCCTTGTACACAGCAGATACATAGTACGTATTTGCTATATGAGTTAATTATTACACACTGGAGTATTACAGTATTTAGGGCACAAGCTTTGAGTCTACTTAAAAAAATGTAACACAGTTGTTTTGGTTACTTCTTGCCCAATTTTATTACTATAGCAACTTTAAAATTAGGTTCCACTCAACTCTGCATTCCAATTTGTTACTGTTTTTCCAATACTGCACATTTCATGTTATTTGTTCCTTTTGCCTACAATTTCTCCCTTCCAGTTAGTTATTCATCTGGTTATGATCATTATTGGTCATGTAGTTTTTCAGAACTGATTCCATACAATTTGTATAATCACTTTTTATTGATTACATTGTTTCTTACAAATTTTATCTTATGTTTAATTTGGTATAGGGGATAAAAAGGGGAGTCATTTCTCCTTAATTTAGGCAAGGTTGAAATAAAAGCTGGTATTTTTGGAGCACTTGATCTCCTTTAAAAAACATGAGGGGCAAGCTGAATGGCAGAATATGGAAGTAAATTGATTATTTTATTTGAAAAGGTCAAAGATTAATTTCATTGAGAAATATGAAGAAAAAATAAAACGTTTTAATGAGCTCTTAAAATATAAGAAATTTACTTATAAAGGTTTTTAATATTTAAAGCCCATCCAAGAATGGCAGCCTAAAGGCACATCAACACTAACATTTTTTCAGCAGTGGGCATAACAACTCAAGTACCTTTGATTCCATGTCCTCCCTTTCTTTCGTTATTTCTTTTTTCATCATCTCTTTCTCAAAGGCCCTTTTCTCCTGCTGAGATGCAAGTTCTTTTTCAAGCCTTTCTGTCTGCCTTTCCAGTTCATTCTTCAACTGCTCACACTGGATTAGAGCCTGTCAGAATAAGAGAGTAACATAGGAGGTAGCATTTAGAAAAAAAATACAGAAAGAAAAGAGTCATTTAAGTTTTACTTTTACTTAAAGTAGTTAAAATTCACTATAAAGTTCATTAGAATAACTTTGTGTTTATTGACACCACTTACTGATCTAGTATGCAAATGTTACATTTACTCAGATATTTCAATATTCACAATTATGGCTGATCAACTAGAAAATTCAGGTAACAGACCTTGATGAGGGCCACAGATGAGTCAGAATTTGAAAACATGGATCAGAAAAACCAAGTGTTTTAGAATTTTAAATTATATATCATGTTAATATTATATGATTATATAAATTTTACTAATTTCTGATTTCCTTGTTAAGAATTTGAATATTTTAAATGACAAATGGATATACAATTTAAAATGAGATGTTAAATACTGTATTTCATGACACACAGACATTTATTGTTTAACACTATTAGTTTTCTTAACTATAACTAAAATTTAGTTCATTACCCTTAAACATACAACTAATGTAAATATTAGGTAATAATCAAAAGTTAAAATAGGGAAAGAGTCAAAACTGAATTCACTACTTAACTTAATGATAATTGTCACCATAAGTGTCCTTTAGTCTAAATTTCTCATATTTCCAGAAATAAAAAGTTCCTAATTTCCTTTTGGCTACATTTATAACACCTGTATGGATAACACCCAATAATAAAATATGACTTCAAAAATCACAATTTTTTAAAACCCCAATAAAATTAAGGTTCTAATTTATCTTGGTCTTATCCCAGTTGCTCTTATCTATAAAATCTACTTCATCCAATCTTTATTTTCCCCTGAATTTGTTAAAAGAAACCCAAGGGGCCTCATATGCACAAAGCCCTGGGTTCAGTTCCCAGCCCCACAAAAACAACAGCAGCAACAACAACAACAAAAAGAAACCCAAGTCTTTTATGGTTACTGGGTGATTATAAATTTAATAGTCCCATTTGTTGGTAATGGAAATAGATATAGTTACAGCATATGCTGTAAGTTTTATGCATTATTATACTTCCCTCTGGTGAAAGCTATAATAAATACAGACAATAAATATCTAGGGGCTGGGGGCATTGGCTCACGCTGTTAATCCCAGCTACTCAGGAAGAGGGGCAGGAGGATTTCAAGTTCCCAGACTAGTCTTGGCAATTTAGCAAGACCCTGTCTCAAAGAAAAAAAAAAAAATTAAAAAGGTTGGGGCAATTGTTCACTGGTAGAGTGCCCCTGGGTTCTAGTCCCATAACTGCAAAAAAGGAAAATCAATCAATCAATCTAGGATACATGAATTTTCCTTTCTTCATCTAAAAAGCATTAAGCTTTTTGGGGGGATCTTTTCTTGAACATTTCTGACTTGTAGTATGAGGTAAGTTTAACTGTGTCAGATTAAGGGGGGGGGGAGGGGGAGGAATAACTATAAAATGATTACTGTAGGGAGTTAGTCCCAAGCTAAATTCTAGTGCAGAATGCCTGGGAATGGAAATTTTAAAAGAAATGAAAAAGCATAATTTTTCCATAATTAAAGCACTTGGAGCTTTGAAATATGAATTAGTGACTTTTGTGCTTCAAAATATAATTGTGTTTATAAAAACATTTTATATGAATTAATGCAAATGACTATAACTTTTTGCTGACATAATGAATATTACTGGTATAAATTAATAAAATAATTATTGAATATAAATAAATATATCCAATTTAGGTAGGATGAAACACACACACACACACAAAAGAAGGAAAAAGAGACCAAAGCTACAAAGCTAAAAGCAACATGATTTTAGAGTTACTTCCCAGATCTGTTTTTCCTCTAAGCTGGTCAAATTCCTAAGAAATCTACAAATCTTAGTGTTACTATGAATTCACTCATCGATGCAAATTGCCTTATTTTGATTTAAGCTTATATGCCTGTAAAGCCTATACAACATGTTTTAAGATTAGATAAAACAAAGGGAGATATATTTTAAGAAACTATAAAATAGGCACATTCCAAATGTTATTTATTAACCAGATAGAGGAGACAATGTCAACCTGAAGATCCTGGAGAGGACAAGACCACCATAAATTTCTTGTGATCTATGATCAAAGAACTGAGTTCACTAGGCTGGTGTCATTCTTCCATTTCATCTTATGCCCACTCCTCACAAAGTCTCTTTTAAAAGAAGAACCCTAGATCCCCAAAGTGCATTTCACTTTGGAACACCCACACTCTTTCTTCCTTACTCTATTGCTTTCTTTCACTAAGTAAACCTGTCAGTGACATCCTATCTGATACATCCAGAAATTCTTTTCTGTGGAAAATATTAAGAATCTACATGGACCAAGTTGAGGTCCCCTTTTCCTCTTTAGAAGGGGCCTGTTAGGACCCCCTCTCATGACACAATCAGAAGGTTTTCAATTGAATAAAAATTAATGAAATACAAGAACAGTAGAATAGATTGCTGAAAACCTAAAACCCAAACTAACCTGAAGAACAACTAAAGAAAGAATTCAAAGAATTCAATCAGTTCAGGAACAAGGAAGAACAAATGATCATTATAGAGAGACCAAATGCCTAGATAAGGTGATTTAGCAAAAAGTACAAAGTACAATGTTATAAATCACATAAATAAAAACATTGCCAAAGTCTTGTTTTGTGAATGGTCTCTTTCTTTCAAGGATAAGCCAACAGTAATAATGGGTCATAATGAGTATGAAAAGAACAATGAAATACCCTGAATAAAACTGTTAGGTTGAAAACTGGTTTTTGGTGTTTATTCGTGTCTAACCAATGATCCATGTTATAAAATAGCTTTTAATTTTATTTGCTTTGATTTTAAAATTTATGCTTGGTCACAATGAAGAAAATATTAAGTGTTCGTAACACTTGGAAGTAGAAATTGATTTAATCTTTCTTAAAATGTCCTTTCTAACAGTGTACCTCATTAAAAGACTGTGTCTTCTAAATAAATATTCATAGATATTTTCACTGCAGTTCTCTCTTTTAATTCTGGGGCTCCCTCACTTATCGTCCAGAACCCTAGCTTATTTGGTATCTCCTGATTACACTCATATAACTTGTTCACTAAAGACATAAGTAATTTCTCAAAGGCTATGTCAGTAAGCTGGCAATTAAAATTAAATGACAGATCTTCACAGATGATCAAGTTAATGGCTTGTGCTGCCATTTCTCCCAGCAATCTTGAAGGGAGTGGTTTCCCCCACTTTCAAGGCCTTTGTAGAAATGGCTTAGGTCTTGAGGAGCTGGGGAATTATACTTTCCTCCTACCTAGAAGATTCAATCCTCAAGGGCCCTTTTCTTTTCTGGGAAATTTCCATATTCTTTGTTCTATGATAATCCTGGCAACACTGTTTCAAAATATGATGTATTAGAATTAATATTTCTAGTCCAATTTTATTAAACCAAATGATAAACATTACTGTCTTGGAGTCAAAAGATTTTTTCACAATGAAATTTGTATCTGCTTAACTAATTTTTAAAATAAGAAAGCTATTTTAGGATATAATAAGCCCTTTCTAACCGCAAGGGTTGGTTTCCTAGAAATTCTAGTGATAGAACAATTCATGACTAAAGAATTAACCTGTTATAAGAAATGTATAGTTATAGGAACAAATTTTAGAATTTATCAATGTGCTTTTATTTTTACAAAATAAAGCCCATAGCTGGGAATGGTGGTGCAATCCTGTAATCCCAGTGACTCCGAAGGCTGAGGCAAGAGGATTGCAAGTTTGAGACCAGTCTCAGAAATTTAGCAAAGCCCTAAGCAACTTAGCAAGACCCTACCTCAAAATAAAAAATAAAAAGGGCTGGGGATTGTGGTGAGCCGTTCTAATAGACCGTGGCCGCCATTAGAAGATGGCGCCGGCTTCCACTATGGCCTGTGATAAACAACTCCTTTTTTGGAGAGTTGGCACGCAATCCCTTACCACCCTATGAGAGAGATCCACGTGGCAGCTTGGGATTGCTATGCGGGAGGCTTTATTAGGCTGTGCTTGGGCGCTCGGCGGGGGGTCGCTAGAAGATGATACATGAAACAAGGCCTGAATAAACTGCTGAAAGAAGAATCCTGTGTCGTGTTTTCCCTTGCCGGCGAGGGGTCCCGACAATTGGTGGCCCGTACGGGGAATTATATTCCTCGAACCCAGGATCCAGAACTTTCAGCAGTCAGGGTGGTGCACCGGTAAGTTCCCAGGTAAAGTGGGAATCCGCAAGCAAATAGCGGGGCGCTATTTAGCATTAGATAATTGTGAATTGTGTGAAGTAATTTTAAGTCTGTAAATAGAGAGAGAGCGGGAAAAAGGAACGCTCCCCTGTAAAAGGAAGAGAGCGGGGAATTCATAGAATGGAACGCTCCCCTGTAAAAGGAAGAGAGCGAGGAATTCATAGAACGGAACGCTCCCCTGTAAAAGGAAGAGAGCAGGGACTTTTGTACTTTCACTTTCTTTATAGCTCTAAAAACATTATGGGCGTTGCTTCTTCAAGCCCAATTTTGTTGGCCCTAGATGGGTTGTTACATTCAAAAGGACTTAAGATAAAGCAGAGTACTTTGCAGATGTTTTTAAGAGAAGCTGATATAGCGGCTCCTTGGTTTGCTTTTTCAGGGAGTCTTACGGTTCCCAGCTGGGACAAATTAGGGAAAGATCTAGATTTTGCTCGTGAGCAAGGCACCTTAGAGGGTGGCGTTATACCACTTTGGAAGTTAGTTAGAGGATGTATAACAGATGGTAAATGCCAGGAAGCTGTGAGTGAGGGTCAAGCTATTCTTGAGCAACTGCATGAGGAAAAATCTGAAGGATCATGTAGTGAAGTGGCAGAGAGTATTAAAAGTAACAGTAGTGAGAAGGCAAAAGAGCCTGAAGATAAAAATAGGAGAAGGCTCTACCCAGACTTGACCGAATTAAAAACGCCTGAGAACACAAGTGACTCAGAGAGTTCTGAGGACCTTGATATATTGTTACAACAACTACATAAGATAAAAATGAAAAAGAAGAAAAAGGAGACACAGGGCACACAGGCCTACTGTAAGAAGGGGAAGGGAGTTAACATCGGTCAACAAAACTCTGAGAAGGAGGAGGTAGAATATCTAGAAGAAGATATGGTGCCGATTGTCCCACCTCCGTATGTGGGGGGGAGCCAAGGTTCTGGGAGATCTTTTCATGCACAAGTTTGGAGGACAGTTAATACAGATATGGGACTTGCATACCCTGTATTTCAGGACAATAACAGGGGAAGATATCATGAGCCTTTAGACTTTAAGATAATTAAAACCTTGGCAGAATCTGTCCGCACTTATGGCATAGATGCCGCTTTCACTCTCACTCAGGTGGAGGGACTTACTAGATTTTGCATGACTCCCTCAGATTGGGCTAGTCTAGTCCGCGCTTGTGTTTCCCCAGGGAAATATTAGGAGTCCAAAGTTGGCTGTTTAATGTTTCTGGCAGTACCCAAGACTCGGAGCGAGGTAGGAGACTTAAAATTACTTCACACAATTCACAATTATCTAATGCTACATTACCCTCCGCAGCAGTCTGTCTCCAATCTCCGTTCCTGTTTCTTTTGGCTAATGATACATCACAGGGGATGCTTAATTGTTCTAATATTACCTGTTATTTGTCTGAGTGTTGGAATGGCTCCTGGACTACGGCAGTGATTATGAAAATTCCAACTTTTGTCTCGATCCCGGTTACTGCAGATCCAGAATCCTTTCCTATTGTTGAACTGATTAGAGCCCGTAGAGATTTTGGAATTACGGCAGCTATAGTGACAGCTGTGGCGGTATCTGCTGCTGCAGCAGTTACAGCTGGAGTAGCCATGGCCAGCCAGGTTCAAACTGCTGCCACTATTAATCAGGTTATTCAACAAACATCCACCATACTTGAATCTCAAAGTAGAATTAATCAACACATTCTATCTGGGATTCTAGCTGCTAATCAAAGGATAGATCTGCTTCAAGCTCAAGTTGAGGAATTGTCTGACCTAGTACATTTGGGTTGTGTTGATCAACGTGCACATTTATGTATAACCTCTGTCAGATTTTATGATTCCAGAAATGCCTCCCGTATCATCGGGGAGTATCTATCCGGAACCTGGTCCATGGAAGCAGAAAACTTGATCCAGTCTCAACTAACTCAGATTGCTGTTTTGAATAGCACCCGTATCGAACCAGTGACTTTGGGTCAATTCACCAGTTGGCTATCCTCTGCCTTTTCCTTTTTTAAGGAATGGGTGGGAGTGGGCATTTTTGGGGCAATGTGTTGCTTCGGTGTTGTACTTTGTTTGTGGCTTCTCTGTCGCCTTAAAACTCGCCATGCGCAAGAGAAGGCTATGATTGTACAGGCTCTTGCGGCCTTAGAAAATGGCATTTCTCCACAAATCTGGCTTGCACATCTTAAACAGTGATTTCTGGGCATGGCCATTGCACCCCAAGTGAGTTTCACATTGCACTGGGATTGGCATGTCCTCTTCCTTATTCTCTCACAGTGCTGGAAGGCCCATGCACTCTGCAGGCCTTGTTGCCATTGCACGCAGGTGGGCTTCCATGCTGGTGCTGCACTTTATGCTTTGGACCCTTCGTTTTCTCAAGGGCTGAGGGATGGTGTTGCCACTTCCAACCTCATAGTCACTGACCGGCTACTTGTAAAATCCCCTTTCTTTTTCACCGTCAACACGATGCAGGATGCGAGGCAAGGCACTGCACTTGAGTGATCCGGTCTCCGGACCTCAAGGAAAGCATGTCCTATTGCATGCGGGTTTGACGTCCACGCCCCGCCCTACGAAAAAAGGCATCGGCTGATATGGGACCAGGTCTAGGGAAGGGCCCTCCTTAGGACTGAACCATACACTGCAGCCACTTCTGCACAGTGGGATAGGACCTCTACTTTCGCCTGCATTGTTTTATAAAATAGAAGGGGGAACTGTGGTGAGCTGTTCTAATAGACCGTGGCCACCATTAGAAGATGGCGCCGGCTTCCACTGTGGCCTGTGATAAACAACTCCTTTTTTGGAGAGTTGGCACGCAATCCCTTACCACCCTATGAGAGAGATCCACATGGCAGCTTGGGATTGCTATGCGGGAGGCTTTATTAGGCTGTGCTTGGGCGCTCGGCAGGGGGTCGCTAGGAGATGATACATGAAACAAGGCCTGAATAAACTGCTGAAAGAAGAATCCTGTGTCGTGTTTTCCCTTGCCGGCCAGGGGTCGCGACAGGGGATGTGACTCAGTGGTTAATTTCAGTGGTTATTTGCCCTTGGGTTCAATCCCCAGTACCAACAAAACAAAACTAAAGAAAACAAGAAAGCAAGTCCATAAAATAAAAATGATTATCAACACATTTCAAGCAAATAACTCATTAATAATGCAAACTACCAAATTTAAGTTATAAACACTTACTTAACAGAAACTCATTAACCAATCTATCCCTATCTTCAGTTTTCAAGATAAAGTCAGCATAATTTAATGACAAGGTCATATTCTGAGAAATGCATCAATAGGCATTTTCATCATGAAAACATTGTAAAGTACACTTACATAAACCTAGATGTTATAGGTCAATCGTGTGACATTGCCTCTTGGTGCAATCAAAAAACACAAAACATGAGACGTATAAGGCTGTTGCTAGCATAACAGGACATACTGTTTTACAGTAAATGTTTTTTATAAATAGAAGGAGTATACTCTAAAATAATGATAAATAGTATGATACAGTTAATACATAAGTGAACATTCCCTTATTATCATTATCGAACATTATGTATGCAACATAATTATGACTAGCAGCATAGTAAGTTTATACCTGTATCACCACAAACACATGAGTAATGTGTTATACTATGTCCTTACAATGACGATGACGTTGGCCATAGGGAATTTTTTAGTTTACATTATAATAGTATAAGGTCAATGTCATCCATCTGATCCATCCCTGACTGAAATGTCCTTATGCAGCATATGACTATAATTTGGTTTTGTTATGCAGCAGAAAATGTGAATATCAAGAAGTGCTATTTTGTATGCTTGTGACTTCAATCAAATGCTCAATGCTTTTCTATTTTTTTTTTTTTTTACTCCAGGTTTCTAATTCTTTTCTGATTTTACTATAATCCAAGACGCAGAATGTTTTGGACATCATTTGGACACAAACAAAGTTTGTGGACATATTTATTCAACCAACTTGGCTGGTATTTAGTTTTTTTCTTTATTAGGGTTATCTTGGCCCAGCAAGGAAGTATATGCCTATAATCCCAGGGACTCAGGAGTCTGAGGCAGGAGGATCTTAAGTTCGAGGCCAAACTCAGCAACTTAGTGAGGTCCTAAGCAACTTTGTAAGCCTGTCTCAAAATAAAAAAAAAAAAATAACATAAAATAAACAGGGCTGGGAAAAAAAGGTGAGGTAGAATCTCATTTCAGATATGCTTGAGGCAACTTTATTTCAAAGCCTCCAGGCCCTCCAATACACACCCCCTCAATAATTCCCCTTCCAAGACAAGCAGGCAGGTCTAAGACTTGTTAGCCTTTGCATCTGATTCTTGTAGCTTTACTAACAAGCTTTATACTGTGTAAGCCTCTATTCTTGCACCCTTGTTTATTCCCAGGCAATTGTTTTTCAGTTTTAAAATTATTCCTACTTGTAATAATTTGCAATTTTCAAACAAAAGTATTCATAGAGCACTTAATATTTTCCAGATACTGTACTAAATGGCTTATATGGATTCATTTATTTAATTCCCTCAAGAAATTTTACCACTCAGTTGAAGAAACTGGGGATTTCAGACATTGAATAACTTACCCAAATCACAGATTTAAAAAGCAAAAGAGAAGGGATTTGATTAAGGGTTATTGGGATTGTAATCTCTTCATGTTATACATTTATTTTCTTATAAAAGTCTCAGGGATTTTCACTGCCATTCTAAGTGTAAATAAACAGTATAATATAAAATAACTCCTTATACTTACTTAGCATGCAATATACAAATAGCACACTAGATGGCAACAGAAGGCAAGGAACTAAAGAACAAACGTCTTTCCCACTTAATAAAAATAGTTGGCTTTAAAATTAAAGTATCTATGTCCTCTTCCGTTTTAATACTCTCAGAAGGCAAAATTCATATGTTCTAATACACCGTCTAGGTAAAAACTTCTAGACCCGCATTACATTTTAGAAATTGGTTAGTACTCAATCTGTATTCATTACTAATTCAATGAAAATGTTAGATTCATAACACATAATGCCTTCTTAATTGTTAAATTTTGTAAGAAACACTAATGATAAAACTTCACATTAATATTTAGGACTAATTACTGACTTCAACAAATGTTAATTGTGCAACTAATATGAGGAATACAAGTAAGGATACAATGATAAAATGTATGAAATATGATATGTCAAGAGCTTTGTAATGTTTTGAACAACTAATAATAATAAAAAAGAAAAAAACAAATATAAAAAAAGGATACAATGATAAACATTACAGACCTGATTTTCATGGTCTTGGTGGAGCAAGATATGTAAACATCCACCAAAACTTTATAAAAAGTCAGTGGGAAAATAGATGAGGAAGAGATTAATCCAAATAAGAAGAAGCTGGGGAAAACTTCTGGGAAAAGCTGCCACCTGAGTTGAACTTCATCTGTTGAACAGATATTTCACAGATGAACACAGGGTAGAAGAGCATTAACATAAGCAAATTTGTGAAAATGTTCATTCATAGTTCATGTTCTGGAAAAAGCATAGCTTATATGAAAGACTGTAGTGAAAGATAAGCCTAGAAAAGTTGGAGCAGGCCCAGACCATGAAAAATCTAGAAGGTCATGCTAAATAATTACCTTTAATTCTACTGTAACAGGGGAACAGGCTGAACAGAGAGATCAACAATTCAGGAAGCTTAATAGAGCCATCTGAAAGACACACTGAACCTGGAAGAAACCTGAGAGAAAGCAACTATTGCGACAGCCTGTAAATAGGGGACTCGAGAGATTAAGCTTGGCAAATGACTGGATGTAAAGAATAAGTGACTGGGCTGGCATAGTGATACATGACTGTAATTCCAGAAACTCAGGAGACTGAGGCAGGCCATTGCAAGTTTGAGGCCAGCCTCAACAATTGCCAGATCCTGTCTTGAAAAATAAAAAGGGGTTGGGAATGTAGCTCAGTAGTGGAACATTGCTGGATTCAATCACCATTTAACATAAAGAAACAATCAAACAAAAAAGTACATGATGAGGAAGAGCCAAAACATTTTAAAGAATCTAACATAGAGCTGTTGGTAAGACAATGATGTGATTTTGGAAAAAAAAATACAGAGAATAGAAGGAAAAGAATTAGTAGATGGGAAGACGGAAAGAATTAATAACTTGGTTGTATAGTAGATGCCAGTGGAATATCATCCATATAAAGAGGTCCAGTAGAAGCAAGAAGTATAGGTCTGGGGCTCAAGAGAGCAGGTAGTGCTAAAAGCACAATGTGGGGGTGGTTCAAATCAAGATAAATTTTGACTATGAGAGGAGATACAAATCCCAGGAAATCAGGACAACATGGAAGGAGGGATAGGAACTAGTTCTGAATAATGTCTACATTTAGCTGTTTTGCAGTTTTTGCTCACTGACCATGCCTAACCCATAGAAGTCCACTCTGCCCTGAGGAAGGACTCAAAGAAGAAGGTAATAATCCACAGAACGACTGTGAGAAGCACAAGCCCAGTAGCCAGAAGAGCTATTCCGCAGAAGGTGCAGAAGCAGGTGCAAACCGACACAGGCATCTCTTCTGAAAGCCATGGGCATCATGAACTCTTTAGTCAATGACATCTTTGAGCGCATTGTGGGAAAACCAATGTACCTGAAATGCTACAAGTGCTCCACCATCACGTTGGGGAAAGAAGATACAAAAGGTCCTGGGCCTCATGCTACATGGGTTGCTGGCCAAGCACACTGTGTTGGAGGGCACTAAGGCTGTCACCAAATGCGCCAGTGCCAAGTGAACATGCCATGTAAGAGTCTTTAACCCCAAAGACTCTTTTAAGAGACATTAAAAAAAAAAGTCTACATTTAGGGGTTACAGAAAAGAATTTAAACTAGATTCGAAAAGAGTAGGTAAGAGCCATACAAGGAGAATTCATGAGAGTGTGAAATATTAGATAAATCAAAGGAAAGAGATTATGTCATGGATAGGACAATTAATGGCTTCCAAAACTTCAAGGTCTAAGTAGCATGAGGATTGAGATGAAGTCACTGGATTTGATAATCAGGAAGTCACTAGTGATCATTAAGTGAGTAGTATAAAATTACACTACAGTTTGTTGAAAGCCTGACTACAATGTGATGAGAAATAAAAGGAAAGATACTAGGAAAGACAACTTTTTGGAAAACTCTGCCAGTAAAATGATGAACTGGGGGTAAGAAATTAAGTATATACTGATCATGTGAAGCCTGAATTTTGTTTGGAGAATGACAGCTATATATAGAATGGGGTGGGGGAACAGTGGTGAGAGAGAGAAGGGGGATGCAAGTAAGATATAACTGATGACCAGTAGGTCAAAGACCCATTAGAAACCCCAGAAATAAGAGACATCAAAAACTTTAGAAAAAGAGATTCATCTTAGGAAATAGAGGGCTGGTAAAGCAAAAACTATAAAAAAAAATTAAAAAGAGTAGAAGAGACATTTGAGGGATCAGAAAACAAACAGTGGCTCTTGACTATTGTCCTTAACCTCAATAAAGGACAAAGGGGGTTGTTTTGTTCCTGTTGTACATGTTAACAACATAAATGTTGAAAGCTTTAAGTATGATGAAAAAAGGATGGAGGAGGAAAAGGTCAGATGCTAAAGATTTTAAAAAGTGCCTAGAGTGTCTTCTAGGTTGAGAGTTTCTATTGATTATGATAAGGGAGAAGAGAGACAACATGACAACACTGATTTCCTTTTTGTTTTTTGAAATAAAGGCCTTGCTGTGTTGCACAGGCTGGCCTCAAGCTTCCAATCCTCCTGCCTCAGCCTCCCAAAGTTGCAGGAATTACAGGCCTGCATCACTGGGTCCAGGAAAAATGCTGATTTCAAAGAAGAATAGTAACCTAGTTTAAAAAAAAAATGATCTTCAAAGCAGATTTCAAAACAAAGGCCTGCACATGGCAGTAAGAAATGAGGAAAATAAGGGCTAACACATCCATCAGAGTCACAGGAGATAAAATGAAAGACAAAAGGACCTTCAGTGGAGATTTTAAGGATTATGACTGAGCTCTGAGGAAATGAAGAAATGAGTGCTAGAAGAAACAAAATATGTGAGAGATTTGAATCTGAGTTTCAAAGGCAGAGGAGAAGCATTAGTGCAGAAATTAGCAATGAATGTGGGTCAATTGAAAATCTGTGTGTGTGTGTGTATGTGTGTGTGTGTGTGTATTTTTGTCTAACGGGGTACTAGGAATTGAACTCAGGGCCTCACACATACAAGGCAAATACTCTACCATTGAACTTCACTCCCAGCCCTTTTTATTTTTTGTTAAGACAGGGTCTCACTAAGTTGCCCAGCTAGTCTCGAAGTTGTGCTCATTCTGCTTCAATCTCCCAAGTAGCTAGGATTACAGGTGTTAGCTCTGACATTTTAATAAAACATTAACATTACCACATATTGAGAATCCCTTACCCAAAATGCCTGGCCAGAAGAGTTTCAGATTCTGGGTGAACATATGAATCCAAAAACCTCAAATTCAAAATCTTCAAAATTGAATTTTTTGAGCAACATTGCTAAGTACTTTAAAAAAAAAAAAAAGAATCAGATTTCAGAGCATTTCAGATTAGGGATGCTCAATCTGTCCGTGGTTTAGACCAATGCTATCCAATGCAACCCCCCCCCCCCCAACCCTGCCACCTCCATGCCCCTGGTGCTGGGGATAGAATCCAGGGCCTCACAATTCCAGGCAAGCACTCTGTCACTCTAGACTCCTAGAACAAGTTTTGGTGATAATGAAAATGTTCTATATCTGCACTGTCCACTACCAGTAATCAATGGATACATGTGGCTATTAAGCACTTGAAGGATGGCTTGTGTGTTTAGAGAAAATACACAGTAACTTTAATGGAGTAAGGTGTAGCCCCCAAATACAACAATGAAACAAAGGTAACTTCCTATTATTTAAAGTTCATAGATATGAATACTGTCTGATCACTAAGTGTTTAGTACCGTCACTATCATTATTTTTAAATATGTTTAATTTAGCTGACAATGGATTCTAACTCATAGCTAATGATGGAACAAAATATTATTATCTACATATATTATTATCTGTGCCCTATTTATGTTATAAAAGTTTTCCACGTCTAGAGGAAAAACGTGTCTTTAGCCATATGTGAACGTATACAAATGAGTGATTATAGGTGTTAAGATTTCCACAGCATTGAAAACTATCAGCAAATTAAAAATTAAGCACACAAGTCTCTCAAAATATGTCACCATATTGCATTACAATCTCTGAATAGTGATATAAGAAAATCATTTGCAGAGGAAAAAAGAATCCTTCAAATACCAAACCTGTTTAATTTAGAAAATCAACATTTCACTTTGTGTTTGGAAAAAGTTTAGTTACAAAAGAATAAACAAAGAAATAGGAAAAAAAAAAGGAGTAATTCTGCATTGTCTTTATTTTCATCTTATTAGACTTGCCTTGGTCTTTTCAAAATTGGCTTCCTCAGTCATATGCACAGCTTGTTTCACCTGTTCATAGGCACTTGTTTCTCTTTGCTGCATATCTCCCAAGCTGTTCCTTACAGAAACTAGTGCAGACATTAAGTCATCTCTTTCTCTGTTAACACAGAAAGAACAAGCAAAACAAGAAATGATCAAACTAGCATGTACTCCTAAGTCAGGAGGGAAAAAAGCATTAGTATATATTAGACAAAGAGCCAGGGAGGGCCAGCTCAACACACTGAAGCACACCCCAGAGAATTGTTCGCCTTGTGTCCTCACTTGGTGAGTGGCTGGCAGAGCAACCAGAGGGGCAGAGAGTATTTATGGCAAGGCTACATCTGTGTAATACAATAATCTATTGTGGAAAGGCTGGAACACTGAGGACTGCCCCCAAAAGAGCAAATTAGTTAGGAAAATGTAGTAGAGCTAGAAAAAAAAAAAAAAACACAAAAAAACCAAACCCACACACAGTGGGATATTTTAGATATTGTATCTCAAAATAGGAATAAATGTTTTTAAGAAGGGACTAGGTGTAAAAGATTTATGTCATAAGGTTTCTCTAAATAAATAAATAAATAAATAAAAAGTAAAAAAAACCCTAAGCCTATTTTGTCACTAATTCTTCTCATTCACTGGAACAAAAATATGTCCTTTCCTTTTCATCTTCCTCCCCAATCTTCCTGTTTACCCTTTCTTTCAATAAAATTCATTCACCTATTAACACATTATTTCAGTGGTAATACAGTGGAAACTCTCAACCCCCCTGGTCATACACATAACACAATTTAACAAAACCTGCCACAGTCTGGCTGGGCACAAATGCCGCAGTCTGGCTGGGCACACAATCACGAGCCACCACACAGCTTGTAGATTCAAACAGCAACTCTATTCCCGAACTCACACCAGCCGTCTACAATCACGTTCTGGGGAAATCCACGTTCTCTGCCCAAATCCACCTCCACTGGGCTTCTATCTCCAAAATATACTGTCTGAATCCCATGAGAACTCAAGGGGAACTCAGGCAGCAGGATACGCCCTATTCCCAGCAGGAATAATCTTAAACCTTAAACCTGGAACCTAAACTGGGAACGCCCTAAACAGGATTATCTTAAACCGGGAACACCCTAATCCGCCTTGGTCCTTGAGCAAGGTCACCTACATTCAATGTCACTGCAACATGGGGTATGCTGGCAAGGAAATTGTCATACCTACTTGGCTAATGGCTCCCAGCAAAAACCATCTCACTAGGGTTGATAATGGCCACACCTACCTCTTCCTCAGCAATTCTCAGAAGTCTCCTGGGCAAAGCTGTTTCTTGGGGATAGAAGTGAACAGAATGTGAAAATGCTTTGGCATAGAATATAATAAGGATGCGATCTCATTGGTTAAATAAATCCCATATCAAATATAAGGATATTTGGAACTTATGGAATGAATAAAAATGCCCAGTAAGACCAAATACAGAGACAAAGTGAGGTTGGAAACTTTCTATATACACAAAACAAAAAAAAAAAAAAAAAAAAAAAGAAAGAAGGAAAGAAAGAAAAGGATGTTGGACTGTCATATACATGCAATTTTATGCTTTATTAAAGAATTCAAATTTTAAACTGTGTTTTCAAATTCAGTTGAAATGCTTACAGTTTCCTTTTTTTTTTTTTCCTGGTTGTATGCATAGTATATTCACATCAATTTGTGTCTTCATACATGTACTTTGGATAGTAATGATCATCACATTCCACCATCATTAATTACCCCATGCCCCCTCCCTTCCCCTCCAAACCTTCTGCCCTATCTAGAGTTCATCTATTCCTCCCATGCTCCCCGTCCCTACCCCAATATGAGTCAGCCTCCTTATATCAGAGAAAACATTTGACATTTGTTTTTTGGGGGTTGGCTAACTTCACTTAGCATTATCTTATCCAACGCCATCTATTTACCTGCAAATGCCATGATTTTCTTCTATTTTATTGCTGAGTAATATTACATTGTGTATATATGCCACATTTTTTTTTATCCATTCATCTACTGAAGGGCATCTAGGTTGGTTCCATAGTTTAGCTATTGTGAATTGTACTGCTATAAACATTGATGTGGCTGTGACCCTAGAGTATGCTGTTTTTAAGTCCTTTGGGTATAGACCGAGGAAAGGGGAAGCTGGGTCAAATTGCAGTTTCCTTTTTATTGCCAAGTTCTGAGAAAGGAACTGTGATTTTTTTTTTTATTAAGCAAACTTTAAGAGTCATAGAAGATTATAAATGCTGAGTTTGAATTGCTTCTGAATTAACCAATATCTCCATTTAAAAAATCTTTTTAAGATAAAATAATTTTAACTATTTGTGTTATTTAGAAAGCAGACATTTTAAAAACATTTTATTGAACAAAGAATTATTAGCTGTTTCATAAAAGATCTTTTTGTTAAAAAATAATAAATTTCTATAAATATAACATTCATGGGAACAAGATGATCTTCACTTTAGAATTTCTTGATTTATTTGCTTTACAGTGATAAAAGTGATTTTAATTTTTTATCCTAAAGGAAATTTAAAAAGCGGTAATTGTTTTGATTAAATGTAATCAAGTACAATAATTACATGAAAAAGTGCAAGAATCAAAACAAGATTAAACTTTTCCATTATAAGTAAAAAAATCAATACAAATCAAACAAAATTGATTTTGTTATTTCTATTTAAAAAATTCATAGAACAAAATGGAATTAGGTTCTTTGTGGATATGTAATCTAGTAGGACTTATGATTCTAGAAGAATATAAAGATTTATTCTTTAAGGATAGGAAGTCAATATAAATATCAGTCACCTGTCTTAAATTTTAAGATCTACTGAAAAGAAAAAGTTATTCTTCAATGATCTTATCTGTTCCTGATAACATGTCATCATCAAAGGAAAAGTTCCAAATAATAAGAATGGATTAAAAAAACCCCTCAGTGTTATAAGTGTGCTAACAGATCACAACAGGTCAAAATCTAACAGACTTGTTTCTTATGGGAGACATATTTAATCTACTTAATTTCTTTTTAGGATAACCTTTTGTTATGAATAGTGTTTATTACACAATAGATGCTCAACAAAATAAATGACAAAAGAATAAATGAATGAATAAATGCTATAGGATGGCATGAAAACAGGTAAATTAAAGTTACTTCCCTGTTCTATTATTCTTGATGTAAATTGAAAAAGTTATCTGACTATTTACAATCAGAAAGTAAACAGTTTAGTTTACTAAACTAATTCAAAACATTCTGATTTACAAATATTTCAGAATATAAATTCACTAACTTTAGACAACTGAACCACTGAAAATCATTAGATATAGACCCCAAAATACAGTTGTCTTGTTGAACTCATCATGAAACAGACTTCAAAATAATCATACTAAACATTTGTGCAACCACTGGACTGACCACTTCAATTTTCTGTAAAAACAAATGCACCATCTGCTTTAAGGTGGCCCTCAGATCATCTGGGAAGCTTGCAGGGAGTTGTTTTGGCAATTTTAAGATTATCCACTTAATCACTACATTTTTGCTTTGGCTTTGTTTTAATTAGGCCAGCCTCCATATACCAAAAAAAGCAAAGCTCTGGGCTGGCTGTGCCCTCTCATCAATACTAGGCCTTGATTCCTGCTCCATTCCTATGTTTATCTGACTGTAGCCCTTCTGACTGATCTACCATTTTTCAGCCCCACACTCATTCCTTGGATCTAACAGTGCTATTAGTTATCTTACTCTTTGAAGACAGGCAACTGCAGCTAGCCAGAGTAACTATCCATCAGTTGCAGTCCTCTCCAAAACCTCAAGTCCACAGGGCCAGCCTGGGGCCAGGCATGAGAGAAGCTTTCACAATAGGAAGTAGTATAGATACATATGCTATTTTGGGAAGAATCTCCAAATTATCATCTTTTTGCCTCCCAGGCAAAAGTTCAGTGAGTGCTTAAAAACATCAGGTGACTGTCTTGATTTATATGATTAAGGAGTATCTCAAAGCAAGCAACACAGTGTTAACTTTTCAACATTCCATGACCCTGATGAAAGGCAGCTGAGGCAGAAAGATGACGTAAAGAGCATGAGTGTCAGTTCTGGGATTGAAAAAGCGCGTAGTTGTTCATACTAACAAGCATGTAATATTTAAGTAACTTAGTGCAAAAATCAGAGCAGAGTAAAACTGAGAAAAATCTCTTAGTAATCTCAGCCAAGTTTTAAAAATAAGCAAAGAAGATAGTTGATCTGATATATATGTTTCATCTTGTGTATATATCCTAAGAAATGTCTTATAATTGTTAAACTATTTCACTGTTATCAATTTTATCATTATTACTTGTATTTTTAAAAAAGAAAGTCTAGAAGGCTGACTATGACATTTTTTTGTTCCTCATTTCTGGGAAGTTCCTGTTGTAGTTTCTCAAAGCCAACTGTTCAGAATACTGCCAGTGATCCTCTCCAAAATCACAAGCTGAACTGAAGTCCTAGGATACTACTATGTTAATCATTCCTCCTTTTCTTAAAAAAAAAAAAAAAGTACAATGAAACTTGGAGAAGTGACCTAAAGAAAGGACTTTAATATAAAGCAGCTTCATCTTGATTACCATTTAAGGTATTTTGATTCTTTTCTGCGGGTGGGAGGGGGGTAGGTACAGTAGTTCATGCCTACAATCCCTGTGATTTGGGAGGCTGAGACAGGAGAATTGCAAGTGCAAGGCCAGCTTCAGCAATGTAGTGAGGCCCTCAGCAACTTAGTGAGACCCTGTCTTAAAATTAAAAAATAAAAAGGGCTGGGGATGTAGCTTAGTTGTAAAGCTCCCCTGGGTTCAATCCCTAATACCAAAAAATAAAAATAAAAAATAAAGAAAAAGAGTTTTGTTTACTGTTACTTTTACCTGCCTTATATCATAAAGAGGCCTGATGGAAAGGCAGTTCAGAAACATTACAAAGACTTCAAATCAACTTTAAAAATGTTTCCAATGTTAACAGTTGTTAAGCGTACTCTCCAAAAAGTCTGTGAGGTCCTAACAAAATACCACAAATATATAGATGGTCTGATCTCCAAATGGTGCCTCATACTCTCCTTGATAACTGCATAAGTATTCATTCATTCTTTTTTTTTTTGGGGGGGGGGTCAGTGCTGGGAATTGAACCCAGTGCCCGGTGCATGCTAAGTGTATGCTTTACTAGTGAGCAACAACTCCAGCTCACAAGTAATTCTTCTGTCATATATTCAAAACATGCTAAACAATGAAACATGGTTGTTTAAAAATGGTGTCACAATAGCACATTTCCAAACGAGGTCAACAAACTTTTCCAGTTTAACATATTTAAGTAATAATTTTTAAAAATTCCATGTGAAAACCATAGAGGAAATACTACTACATCAGATTATTAAGAGTTCAGGCTTTTAACCATTTAAAACTAGAAATCCAAACTTTAAGTCTTGGTCATGCTACAAAACCAGCATGTGGTAAACATTAATAAGTTAGAAGAAGCTGAAAGCCAGCTCATATTTAGGGAATTATATAGATCAAAATTTTCATTGACAATAAAAGCAGAAACTTCTCACTCTATTCTGTTACTAAAGCACAACATAAGCCAATAATAGGCTGACAAAGCAGAAAATTGAACTAAGTAGGTTAATGTTTACTTTAAGAGGCTGAGATCAAATTTAGGATAGAGACAAAGGAATACATAACTTAGCAAGAATTTAATTTCTAAATGACTGCCAGACTTAGAATCAATGTAACATTGCAGCTTCCTTTTAAAATATTCTTCTCATGATCCAGAAGGAAATATGAAAGGAAGTATAATAAGGGTGGAAATTCCTATATTTTTATTTGTTGGTTTTGCTAAATTGGTTTTAACCTTTGCCTCTTTTTATCTGCAAAATATAGAACATACTTTTTCCTTTTTTGGCAGGGGGTACTGGGGATTGAACTCAGGGGTACTCAACCACTAAGCCATATCCCCAGTCCTATTTTGTATTTTATTAGAGGCAAGGTCTTATTGACTTGCTTAGGACCTCACCATTGCTGAGGCTGGCTTTGAACTTAAGATCCTCCTGCCTCAGCCTCCCAAGCCACTGGGATTATAGGTGTGTGCCACTGTGTCTGGAGGTTTGTTCCTTTCAAAAAGTTTTTAATCAGTATAGTCTCCTTGCAAAATTAGTTATCCATATGGTAAAAATCTATGTGACACAAGTTTTCAATACCATTTCCTTTTTCCACATCTCCAGAAGCAATCACTGTTGAATATTTGGTGTTTAATCTTTCAAATCTTTTATTATTAATATATATGAACCTAGAAAAAATAGTATAATGGTTGTGTATGAAATCTAGAAAATACAAATGGTTTCATACTGGTTTATCTTTAGTTATTTTGTTTTGCTTTAATAATATATGTTGGAATTAGTTCCACATTAGTATACATAGATCTACATTAATTCATTTTTATACTGTTCATCCAAATCATAGTTTAATTAGTGTCTCTCTCTCTTTCTCTCTCGTATTTAGTCTCTTTTGAAGATACTTAGATTGTTCACTCTATTATAAACAGTGCTGTAAAACATATTTCCTATAAGTGCCACATTATATATATGTATGAGCTTTTTCTCTAAGGTAGATTTTAAAAAGTGTCATGCATAATTTAAATATTAATGGTAGTGCTAAATTGCCCTCTAAAGTAGTTATACCAACTTATAGTTCCACCAGCAAGAAAGAAAATTATTTATGAGCATTACCACCCCTTGGGATTATCAATCTTCTTTAATTTTTTTCCTGATGGGTTAGTTTTTTCCTTAGATTTGATTTTCTTGAATACAAACAGAATGAACATCTTCTGATGTATTGACATCTTTCTCTTCTGTTGCTCACCAATTACTTTACTCACCATTCAACTGTGCAGTTTGTTGTTTTTGTTTGTTTTGAAGCAAATTCTTTACTAGTCTTTTGATTAAAAATGGCAAACATTTTTTGAGAGTTTTAACTAATTTTAAATACTTTATCATAAGGGAAATTATTCTTTAATGAAATCAAATGTGTCATTTTTTAATGACTTCCACTTTTCATGTTATACTTAGCACTGTAACAAGCCCAAGGCCATTAAGATACTTTTCCATATTTACTTTTAATACTTTTAAACTCTGAATTATATTTGTCTTTTTAAACTATCCTGAATTTTGTAAGGTCATGTTCTATTCTCTCTTTTTTTTTCCCCAAATATAAACAGACAAAATTTTACTTTCTTTGAGTTTCACTTTACATAGGTATAAAATAGTGGTAATCCTAACTATCTCACAAAATTTCTTATTAAGATTAGAAGGCTTGGGCTGTGGCTCAGTGATAGAATGCTTGATTAGCACATGTGAGGCACTGGGCTTGTTTCTCAGCACCACACACAAAGGAAAGGAAAAAAAAATAAAAATATGTGTCCATCTACAACTGAAAATAATTTTTAAAAAAGATTAGAAAAAATTATTTTTCTAAATTGCCTGGTACAGCCTTGCAAATAAAAAATGTTCACCACTTGTTAGTTGGATATGAAAGTAAATTTAATATATGTAATTTAATATTTATATTGAATATATATGAACTCATATACATTCATATAGTGTATATGAATACTTATATTGAATATATAAATAATTAGTAACATGTTTAACTATATAATATTTAGAAACAACAACAAAAAACCCAGAACCATTGAGTAGATCACAAAAGCTATCATTCAGTCCATATTGGAGGTTCAGTTTTTATATAATAATTAGTAGGTTAGTCATACAGCTACCAGGTATATTGAATGTCCTTGGAGTCTGAAAGGTACAAAGTGATTTCAGTATTTACTGAATATTTACTATAGGTCGGGAAGTGTTTTAAGCACCATACAGTTAACCAATTCTCAATTACCCTTCAAAATGCCCTATGTGTTAGGTAATTTTACCACCATTTTTAAAATGAAGGAATTGAAGCACAAAGAGGTTGAGTAATTTTAGTGAAAGTGCATAGTAATTCAGTGATAGAACTAGCATATGAACCCAGGCAGTCTGTTTCAAAAGCCTGTACTACTAGTCAGAAGGCTAAGCTGACTCAGTAAAATACCAAGAGTAAGTATTATATCTCCAAGCAGCAGAAGATTCCAAATTCAGAGAACTAGTTGTCTAAAGGTCAAGACACACAGCAAGATCAGTCTCACTTTAATGATCATAGTCATTCCACTCTTCCACTCCAATTGCAACTGGAGTAACTCTGACAGCTAAACAATAAATGCCTTGCCACATGAACAGCAAACACTAAGTGTCTACCGTAGGCCCAAGTACCAGGAAACTTTATTGACCTATAGCAAATACTCAAAAAATACTGAAGCCCCTCTGTACCTTCCAGACTCTAAGAACATTCAATATATCTGGTAGCTGATGTCTAACCTGCTGATTGCTGCCTCCAAGTATATGCAATATAAATCACAGAATAAAGTAATCTAAGATGGCTGAGGACAAAAATGGAACAGGGCTAGTGAAAGAATACTTCTAAAAGGGAAGTGAAGATTGAGCATAGCAGACAGAGAGAGGCATCTTTGAAAACAGAAAAAGCAAGGAGCATGGGAAAACCCACACTTCAAAACCAATATTGAATTCTATGATAAATAATAATTTTCAACTTCTAATGAATAAAATCTTCACAGGAAATGGCTTCCTTTGTAAAAGTGAACATGGAATAAAGGAGATGCACACAGAGAATGATATTTCAACCTCACTGCAAACTTTTACAACATTAAACTCATTTGTAATTTGTCCTTAGTCAATACTCAAATATTAATACTACAATACTTTGGGTCCTTCTCTCACTATGCTCATAATATTCTTCATAACAGGCACATGAGGAACATGTAGTAGTAACTCATTGTACCTAAACTATACTGGGGGAATCCAAGTTGTGACAAAAATAAAGGAATTCCTATAATACTTGGTTTTGCTAAGAATAGTGATGGGTTTGTTTATTATAGAGTCACAGAACTGGACTCTATAATAAACTAGATTAACTAGTTCCATTCAAGATGATACCGAAATCAAAAAATTAAATAGGTTTTTCAAAGTGACATGGTTACTCACAGTTGGCAAAACTTCCCATTCTTTCTTTAAGGAAGCTACATTGAAGGAATCTTTTAAAATCCACTGTATTTGAGGCTTAATACTAACCACGTGTGATTTATTTAGCATGGGGATAAAAGAACACATAATTTTCTATGTTGCCAAAGACTTTGCACATATAAGCATACTTACTTAGACAGTCTTTCGATGGTTTGGATGTGTACGTTATTATGAGTTTGGGAAAGAACAGCTTCATGCTGAGCACACTTCAAACAAAGGCCACCAACATGGCTGGAAATATTAGCAGCAAGAAGAGACTCTTTATGCTTTAATCGCTCTCTAAGATCTTCACAGTTTTTCTGATATTCAGCTAAGTCTTTCCTAAAAACAAGGGGAAAAAATTCTAGGAAATATCCTGGAAGAAGTATTCTACTTTAAAGTCAGTCATCATTATGAATTACTACCATCATTATGGGTGTTTACCTTACAACTTTGCTTCACAACCCTGAAACGTAGGTCTGATTATCCTGATGCAGTGATTATTAGACTTGAATATATTAAGTAGCTCAAGTTCTTGTAAGATTTTAATACAGATTAGAATATACCCTGTAATAGAATTTTACCTCCATTAACATATTACCTACAAAACAAAAATAAAACTCCAAATATAAACCCTAAATGGTCTCTCTTAATAAAAGGTGGGATGACATGATACAATATCCTTGAAGTAAGGGAAATAACCTATTTTGGGAGTTAGGTTCATAAAATTTATAGAGAATACCTCAAAAGTTCAACAAAGAATATGGATTTTATCCATGACTAACTTATTATTTATTATTTCCTCTTTAGGAGGAAAAAATAAAAGATTATGTAATCACAAAGTTCTTCAAAGAGTTGTTTCAAAAGAAAGTGGGCCACAGAAAGAAATTACAGAGAACTTGCCAGTCAAGAATTCAAAAGTAGTAGCTATTAGCTAGAAATATGCAGCTTGCTAAAGAAAGAGCTAGAGAATTGTGTGTGTGTGTGTGTGTGTGTGTGTGTGTGTGTGTGTGAGAGAGAGAGAGAGAGAGAGAGAGAGAGAGAGAGAGAGAGAGAGAGAGAGATTTTTGTTTGCTTTTACTTTATGGGCTCACCCCTAAAAGAAGTTTTTCTCTAAATTGATATTTTAAGAATTAAGTGACTAGTACATGGGTTGCATTTCCCCAATTTCTTCTTCATCTCTAGTAAAGCCTTGGTAAAGTCAACTGAGCAACTGAGCCTCATTGTCCAGAAGTCCTTTTCCATGTATATATGGAAAAGATGTATACACACACACACACATACACACACATATATATGGGTCTCATTGTATTGCCTAGGCTAGCCCCAAATTTGTAATCCTCCTGCCTTAGACTCCCAAGGGGCTAAAATTACAGGATTGTGTCATCCTACCATATATTTTTTAAAAGCCAACTACCAAGCTTGCAAAGGAGACAATGTTATAAATTCTTGGACTGCTGAAGGTATACACTCAGTCTACTACTGTGTCCTGCTCAGTCCTGGACTACCAAAGGTATACACTCAATCTCCTGCTCAGTCTACTCCCTGTTGTTGGCGTTTCTATGCTTGGGGACTATAACTATTTTAACTTGCTCAGTGTTATGGTTTGGTCCCCAGTATAGCAACTGTGGGGCTTTTGGGAAGTAACTGGGTTATTAGGGATTGATCTTATCAATGGATTAATCCATCGATCAGTTCATAGCTAATGGCATTTTGGGGAGGTGGTGGAAACTGTAGGAGGTGAGGTCCAGTTGAAGGAAGCAGGTCACTGAGGTCATGCCCTGGAAGGGTATATCAGGGTTCTAACCTTTTCCTCTTTCTGTATCTCTCTCTCTTTCTCTCTGAGTCCCTACTGCCATGATATGCGGCTCTGCCATACCCTTCCACCATGATATTCTGCCTGGTCTTAGGCCTAAAGCAATGGAGCCAGCAGACCTTCAACTGAAACCTCTAAAACTGTGAGCCAAAATATATCTTTCTGGCTTTTAAGTTTCATATTGCGTGGTTTAATCATCACAATCAAAAGCTGACTAGTACACTCACTGTTGCAGAGGAAACGCCAACAACCATTCCTCCTGGCTGAAATATACGTCTTCAACTCTTGAGATTTGAGGACTCTCAAGCAGCCCAAAGGAGGTGGAGTAATTTTTAGAATGTCTAAGGATTAAAAAAAAAGTTAATCTAATGGTGGTTTAAAATTTGGAGGGGGAAATAAAGGAGTTATGTTTGCCCTCTCTCCAATATAGCATTTCTAACATAATGTTTTGTTTTAAGTATTGCATAAAGAAAGTTTGAATTTCAAAGGCTTTATAAAAAAAATTTCGGAAGCACATTCCAAAGTCAAGGGGCCCTATTACTAACTTCTGTCAGGTTCAGACTAAAAACTCTCAAGTAGATTTGGTTACTGGGAATGGCAAAAGAGAATATTTAAAAGGAATTTCTGAATAGTGATTTTATTTCTTTGTTTCAGAAAAATGCCTCTTTGAATAATCTTAAATTAGGTTACAAAAAAAGTTAAGAAACAGAAGAATGCAGAGAATAAAGTCTAACTCAGTGCAAGTTGGTATGCTAATGTAATTAAAGATGACATAGTTGAATTCTGAGTGAGACTAAATAAGTCACATTCTCATTAGTTTAATATCTAGAAACATACCACTTCAAAAATTGAAGAATTAAATCATGATGAAAATCAAAAGACAACAAAGTAAGATAAAAAGCAGGAAAGCGAGTATTAGACTATTTTTTAAATGTTAGGGTTCTTTGTGAAAAAGTAAAAAATCTCTATAGAAATCCTAAAACTTAAGAGTACATTAAAAATAAGTAATAGCATGTACAGTGAAAGCCATTAGTTCTGATTCTTTGCATTGCTCTAGGTAAATCTAGTCGGTACATGAACTAGAAGATTTTCCAACTTATTTCAAGTTGTACTTAGTAAAATAAAATTATAAAAATATTTTTAAATTCACTTGATTTGAAAACATGTATTACCACAATTTCAAGTAATCTTTTATCAAAAATTAATTGCTGATATCTTTTTCTACTTATTCATAAATCAGTAATGGTTAATCTATTAGTCAAAGTTTTAATGGGATCTATAACATAAATAATTATAAAAAGTAGATGAACATTCATCAAATATACTTAAATTCATCATGCATACAAATATTCAAATTATTATATTATTGTTACAGCTTTAAATTAGATAAAGTTGATCTACAGATAAAAAATTACTTGCTTATAATTTTAATGCTTGAGTGTTTTATTTTCACTATTTAACTATAAAAGCACAATTTGTAAGAACAACTAGTAATCCTTATTTCTATAAGAAAACACAAATATGTTACAACTGATGAAGATGAAAATGTATAATTTAGCACACAGAAATGTTGTTTGAAAAAGGATTCACAATTTTATGCCTTTTCATCCTTTACTAATGTGAGAAAAATTGCATATAAATCATATTGCATATAAAATATTACCAAGTAATTCTAAATTTGAGTAAAACCAGTAGTTCATAAACATTCAAACATATCTTAAGATCATTATTCTTTTACTGTGACTATAAATGGATAATTCACTTTACCTCAAAAATGTCAATTGAGATTCCAGGATTTCACTCTTTGCCTCATATGTAAGTTTTAACCCCTCCTAAAGAACAAGAAAAGAAAAAAACATTTTTTTCATGTCTGTGTTTTATAAGTACATTTAAAATATTAATATTAAACTTAATATTTTCTTTCCTTTACAAACACAAATAACTGTTTACTCTTAGAAAACATTTTCTTTAGCTCACACAATTTTTAAAAATTTTTGGTGGATAAATGCCTCCAAAGAACTACTGAGTCATAAAATGGCTATTATTGACACTTTTTTTTGTCTTTCAAAATTGCACATATCAGATCTTACCCTTCTAAGTGTGACTCAGAGAAAAATATATTGTTAAATTAGTAGATCCATGAGGACAAGTTTAAATCTATTGGAAAATCACTATTCTGACTCAAGCATATTTGACATAGAATAAATGTGTGCTGGATAGAGGATAAAAAGTAATGATATAAATCACATGAAGAATCAATAAATGGGATGGATTCAAACTAAAAAGTTCCTTCTCAGCAAAAGAAACAATCTGTGAGGTAAATGGAGAGCCTACATCTTGGGAGCAAATTTTTACCTCTCACACATCAGATAGAGCACTAATCTCTAGGGTATACAAAGAACTCAAAAAGCTAAGCACCAAAAAAATAAATAACCCAATCAATAAATGGGCCAAGGACCTGAACAGACACTTCTCAGAAGAGGATATACAATCAATCAACAAATATATGAAAAAATGTTTATCATTTCTAGCAATGAGAGAAATGCAAATCAAAACTACTCTAAGATTTCATCTCACTCCAGTCAGAATGGCAGCTATTATGAAGACAAACAACAATAAGTGTTGGCGAGGATGTGGGGGAAAAAGGCACACTCATACATTGTGGTGGGACTGCAAATTGGTGCAGCCAATATGGAAAGCAGTATAGAGATTCCTTGGAAAACTGGGAATGGAGCCCCATTTGACCAAGCTATCCTCTCCTCGGTCTATACTCACAGGACTTAAAAACAGCATATTACAGGGACAGCCACATCAACGTTTATAGCAGCACAATTCACAATAGCAAAACTGTGGAACCAATCTAGATGCCCTTCAGTAGATGAATGGATTAAAAAATGTGGCATATATATACACACAATGGAATATTACACAACAATAAAAGAGAATAATACCATGGCATTTGCAGGTAAATGGATGGTGCTGGAGAAGATAATGCTAAGTGAAGTTAGCCAATCCCTAAAAAACAAATGCTGAATGTTTTCTCTGATATAAGGAGGCTGACTCATAGTGGAGTAGGGAGGGGGAGCATGGGAGGAATAGACTAACTCTAGATAGGGCAGAGGGGTGGGAGGGGAAGAGATGGGGTAGGGGGTTGGCAAGGATGGTGGAATGTGATGGACATTATTATCCAAAGTATATGTATGAAAACACGAATTGGTATGAACATATTTTATATATAACCAGAGATACAAAAAATTGGGCTGAATATGTGTAATAAGAATTGTAATGCATTCTGCTGTCATTTACTTTTTTAAAAAGCAATTAAAAAATTTAAAAAAGTAAATAAATCACATGATAGGCCAAAATGGTACATCATCTAACAAACTTCATTCAGTTGGTATCCAAATGTTCTTTTATCTAACAAGTATTTATTGGATGTCTAGGATGAAGGTGCCTCAAAACTCAAGGAACTTATTCTCTAGGAAGTAATAGAAAGATCATCAATTTCAATTATACATAATTATTTTAGTGAGGTATGCAGAAGGTAAAATGGAAAAGAGGCAAGACCTCCTAACTGAGCCAAAAATAAAGAAGTTTACACAGAGGAAGTGCTAAGACTAGAAATATAATTTCTAGTAAAGCAAAAGCCTAAAGGCTAAAGAAATCACACTCCAACTTTAGATGGTATACAGATCATTTATCACCAGAATGAAAATACCAGGTGGAGGAATGGGTAAAGATGAACTAAATAGGTAAGTTAGACCATGAAAAGAAAAAAATATTAAGACCTTTCTTTACACAACTTTTATAATCAAGCCACTGGATAGTCATTGAAAACTTTTTATTACGTTGAATCTTAAGTCAGAAGTATGGAGAAAGAGAAGGCAGTAAAGAAGTCATTGCAAATATGCAGGTAGGTGATAAGCATGTGAAAAAAAAGCTATTAAGTTGTAAAGATCAAAAAGAAAAAAATTAGCCAGGTGCAGTGGTGCAGCAAAAGTGAGGTGCTAAGCTACTTGGTGAGACCCTGTCTCTAAATAAAATACAAAATAAGGCTGGGGATGTGGCTCAGTGGTTGAGTGCCACTGAGTTCAATCTTTGGTTCCTTCCCCCACCACAAAAAAGAAAGATTTATGTCTACAACGACTCCATCTCCAATGTGACCTCCTCCATCTTCCCCAGATGGGGAAGAATGGAAGAGGGTGTGATGACATCTTGCTTTTGGTTCACCCAGCCAACTGGTCTGGCACCCACTGGGTTCCTGGGGCCCACTTGGGTTGTCACTCACTGGGCCCTGGCACCAGCCTGGTTGCCAACTCCATCCCCAATCTTTCATCAATAGATTCCCCTGGTCCTGCTAGGTCTGGCATTGGTCTGGCACCCAACAGGGCAAACTAGCTCCTAAACCCTCCCTAGCTACCAATCTTAGCCAGAGCTCTCAGCAACATGGCCATCCATAGCTCCCAGTGCCTGGTTCTGATTTGCTTAATACAGAACAGCTCTCCATGATAGGCACACAGGTTCCAGCAATCAGCTCTCAGGACCATCGGGAGAGAAGTGCCTGATGTCTTAATAGGAGCTATTTGGTTTAAGGCTATGTATTGTTTGTATTGGGTGCTGTTAATATTTATCTCCCCCTTAAACACAAGGTACTGAAAAATTCAGAGACACTATAAATCTACAGGGTAGAAACAGTGGTGCTTCGGATCGACACTGATAGATGGAAAGATACACCAAAAACATGAAAAACAAACAAACAAACAAAAAAACCAAGAGAACAAACTGCCCCAAACAAACCAAGATGCTCCAATGACAGAGTCCATTGACAATATAGTAGAAGAGATGTCAGATAAGGAGTTCAGAATGCACATAAACTGATTCATGTCATAAAGAATGATGTAAAGAATGAAATCAGAAATAAATTTCAGGAGGTGGAAGATCACTTCAATAAAGAGAGATTATGAAAAGAAATTAAGCAGAAATACTTGAAATGATGGAACCCATAAACCAAATTAAAAATTCAACGGAAAGTACCATCAAAAGACTAGAGCACTTGGAAGACAGAATCTCAGGCAAAGAACACAATATATAATCTTGAAAATAAAGTTGATCACACAGAGAAGATGGTAAGAAACCATGAATAGAACTTCCCAGAATTATGAGGTAACATGAAAAGACCAAATTTAAGATTTATTGGGATAGAGGAAGGTGTGGACATACAAACCAAAGAAATGCACAATCTTTCTAATGAAATTATATCAGAAAATTTCTCAAACCTGAAGAATGAAATTAAAAATCAAATACAAGAGGCTGACAGGACCTCAAACATACAAAATTACAACAGACATACAACAAGGCACATTATAATGAAAATGCCTGCCATACTGCATAAGGATAGAATTTGAAAGGCTGTAAAGAAAAGGATCAGATTACATAGAGGAGGAAACCAATTAGAATCTCAGCTGATTTCTCAACCCAAACCCTCAAAGCTGGGAGATTCTGGAACAATATATGCCAAGCTCTGAAAGAAAACAGATGCCAAGAATTTCATATCCAGTAAAATTAAGCTTCAGAATTGAAGAAATAAAAACATTCCATGCTGAACAATAGTTAAAACAATTCACAATTTCTAAGCCTGTCCTACAGAACATTCTCAGCAAAATATTCCATGAGGAGAAAATTAAAAACAACAAAAAAGTGAAACCCAGCAAAGGGAGGAACTACATTAAAGGAAGAGCCAATCAAAGGAGAAACTAAGACAAATAAAAAATCAGAAATAAATCAAAATGAATGGGAATACAAATCATATCTCAATAATAATTGTGAACATTAATGGCCTAAACTCATCAATCAAAAGACACAAACTGGCAGACTGGATTAAAAAATATGACCCAACAATATGCTGTTAACAAGAGACTCACCTCACTTGCAAAGACATCCACAGACTGAAGGTGAAAGGATGTGAAAAAATGTATGACTTGTGTGGACTGTGTAAACAAGCAGGGGTTTCCATCCTCATGTCAGATAAAGTGAACTTCAAGCGAAAGGTAGTCAGAAGGTACAAAGAAGGATATTTCATATTACTTAAGGGAATCATAAGTCAAAAGACATATGCTCAATGGAACATCGACATACATCAATGGAGCATTGACATACATCAAATACAACCTTCTCAATTTCAAGAATCAAATAGGCCACAACACAATACTTGGTGACTTAAACACACCTCTCTCATTACTGGATAGATCTTCCAAACAAAAACTAAACAAAGAAACTACAGAATTAAACAATACAATCAATAATTTGGACTCAATTATATTTGTTCCATCAATGAGCGAATACACTTTCTTCTCAGCAGCAATTGGATCCTTCTCAAAATCAGACCATATCTTATACCACAAAGGACCTCTTAGCAAAAAACAAAACAAAAAACAACCCAGAGATACCAACCCTGCATTCTATCAGACCATAATGTAAAGAAATTAGAAATCAACAATAAAATAAAAAATAGAAGCTACCCCAACACCTGGAGACTACATAATACATTATTGAATGATGAATGGATAACAGAAGAAATCAAGGATGAAGTAAAAAAATACTTAGAGATAATAAGGAAGAAATCAAGGATGAAATAAAAAAATACTTAGAGAACATTGCTACAACATATCAAAATCTTGGGGACACTATGAAGGTAGTGCTAAGAGGAAAGTTTACTGCACTGAGCTCATTCATTAAAAGAATAGAAAGTCAATAAATAAATGACCTAACATTACATCTCAAAGCCCTAAAAAAGAGGAACAAATCAGCACCAAAAACAGTAGAAGAGAGGGAA